GTTTGCCTGAGGACGGGACCGCATGGTCTCGAAATATCACTAAGGAGATGTGTGTTATCTCAGTCAATAAACAGCATTGACTTTAATATCATGGAGTGCGAGTGACTACTTTCTTCTATCTACATTTCACGGAGGCATCCGTTGTCACCACCGCACCCACCCAGTTGGATTTGGGTTTTTGTCCGGTCAGGAGTGCGATGGGACAGGAGGATTACATTTCAGTTTGTTGTGGGGTGGGAGAGGGCCCGGCTGTGCATTAAAGTGAATGGCACCGCAGCCGCAATGCGATTGGCAGCACGGGAACGCAAGGCTCATCAATGCCTGCAGTCTGGTCAGAAAAAGCATTTTTTCTGACCGGACCACAGGCATTGATGTGCCTTGCTTTCCCGTGCGGCCGGAGGGCGTGGCCATTCACTTCAATGCACCGCCGCGCCCTCTCCCGCCCCACAACAAACTGAGCCGGCCGCAATGTGATCCAGTGTGTTCCGGCCACAATTGGGCCGGAATGCACTGAGGATGGTGTGAATGAGGCCTTACTCCTAAGGAATAAAGTGTTCTCTGCTGTTAAAGGGTATCTATGGCTAAAAACAAAAAATAAATCTGTATTTCCATATGTTCTATCCCTGCTCCTAATAACCAGATCCGTGTAGAAGATAGTAAACTGAAGATGCTCATAGGATGGACTTCCTCGATGCACTGACACCATATCACTCAGCCCTGTGAATATGAACTTTCTGGTGTCGCCACTCTCCTAGAGCCTGCCTTCTGAACTACAACTCAACGTCTGAACAATGTAACATTATCATTGCTTGCTGGAAGCAATGCATGATGGGAGTTGTGGTCTTGAGAAATGGAGATTGCATCACATCAAGCAGCAGGGAAAGAGATGCAAAGCACACCTGGAATCCAGGAAGTTGTTGGAAGTGATGGGCAGACGGAAGGCAGCGCTCACTACATAAAAGGGATTTTTTCTAGTTAGCTTTGAATGTATCAGAGACAAGTCTACTATGTATTCCTATTACAATTCTGATGTCATAATAGGAGAGGATATGCTGGGACTTGACCTGAAATGTTCTGCTGGATACTAGATCAGGTCCACCGCTCTCTCCTGGAGACTTGTATAGGGAACTCTGAGATCAGTGCGTCCACACACTGCCAGTGCAGCCGATATGCCGCTGGGATTGTGGTGGCGCTGCCAGTGTGTGGACGCACAGATCTCAAAGTTCCCTATACAAGTCTGCAGGAGAGAGCGGTGGACCTGATCTAGTATCCAGCAGGACATATCAGTTAACAGAGGAGCAGAGAACACTTCATTCCTTAGGAATAGGCAGAAGTAGGGCAGGTTCGGACCAAACCGGAGCTCCTCCGAATATAGAAGGGACATGGGGCCACCCGCCCAATCAGCTGCGGGACGGAGCATTCCATAAACAAAGGTCGGGATTGCCTCTGCTGATGTCATTGACCTTATATGGCCACGATGGGGGAAATGTGATTGACCTGTAGTCAGGTGGCCATATGAGGTCAATGACATCACTGCGTCCCGTCCCCTTTGCTTAGGTGCAGGCTATATAGCCTGATGGGTGTTATGCTCCTGCAGACAGCACCATATTTCCATCCTGTATCCGGTCCTTGCATTCCAATGACTCTACACCTCAATTGTACATCACAGAACCTCAGCATTGGAAAAATTAAGGATTTTCATGCAGAGTTGTGACGCAAAGCGTCTATCTACTCACAAAGCGGGAGGAGTTGTCGTTCTTCACAGTTTTGGCATTTCCAAAAGATTCCAGGATGGGGTTCGCTTGAAGCAGCTGACGTTCCAACTCCCCCTGCGGAATATAAATATGGATGGATGAGTAGAACAGGAAAGCCCAATGATTCTGAATAACGATCTGTGTGCGCTGCAGGAAAAAGTCCGCCAGTACCGGAGGTCTAACCCAACATCACTGCGTAATGACAACCCTTTACTACATGTGTGCACTTACCTTGCCAACACAATAAAGGTAACCTCTATACGTTCAATAAACAGCAATACTATAGAGATTGAAATTAATTTAACCTGTAAGCAATTTTGCATTGTACCGCACCCTTCATAGGGACTCCACCAAGTAAATCTGTAAAAAAAACAACAAATCAAGGCAACTGGACTTGCTGTGTTCTTGAAGACGTTTCGCTGATCATCCGACTAGCTTGCTCAATTCAGAATGACTTGTACAAAATCTCTGGGAATCAATATGGTGAATGTTCCTCCAATCTACATAAACGGTTCATCATAACCAGCATGGAGGTCAGAGACTTCGTGGAGATAAGGTGTGGATTACATTGACACGATTGGAGCTAGCAGGTGTTATTAAGCTGCCCAGAGAGAGGTGAGCATTGTATGTGGCAGACCATAGATGTGTTACCCCCCACTTCCCGCCACACACACTTCCCACCTTTACTCAAGCTTGGCGTCTCCATTTCCATATAAATTACGTCTTTTACACCTTTTTAGACGTCTATTGTCTAACCACGTACAATACTGTACACAGCAGCGCAGCCCTGTGCTTGGTATTTTAAATTCCACTCGCAAATGGCGAGCATTCACTGGTCAACTCGGTCTCTTGACCAATGAACTGCGTCTGACTGCGCTAACCAATGAGAAGCTCTACTGACCGCTTTGACCAAACCGTGCTTGCCACTTGCGAGCAGAATTTAAAAACCGAGCGCAAGGCTGCGCTGATGTGTGCGGGTTCTACACGGGCAGCCATGGAGGTGAAGAAGCTTTCTTTTAGCCCTCATTCACATTAGAAAAGGCCGGCACGTACAGCTCCGTGCAGGGCCGTATCGGGCAGCTCCCAGGGAGGACAGGTGCTGCGTGCGGTTAGTACGCAGCCCCCGTCCTTCTCTATTGGAGTACGCGGCCGTACGCCACCCTATGCTCACCCGCACCCGATGTCCGTACTCGTGCGCTGACATGATGAATCCTGTCTGCGTCTGAGCAAGGAAACATGCACCAGTACGGACCTGCACTTGGGGTGAGCGTAGGGCGGCGTACTCCCATAGAGAAGGACGGGGGCTGCGTACTAATCACACGCAGCTCCTGTCCTTCCCGGGAGCTGCCCGATACAGCCATGCATGGAGCACGGAGCTGTACGTGCCGGCCTTTTCTAGTGTGAATGAGGGCTTACAGGTGAGAGCAGCAGTGGGCTGGGGATGGGTGGTTTGATGACTGGGTCAGAGGGGGCAGATTGGTGGGGGTAATTCCATTTCCCCAAATTCACTTGAATTACTTGAAACTAGAATTACCCTTTCAGCTGTCCAAACACTGGTAGATATTTGAAATGGTAAATACACTTTTCCAGGTGAATTTGGCGAAATGGAATTACCTCCACCAATCTGCGTCCTCTGACCCAAACACTGCAACGCCCAAAACCCCTGCGCTTACCTGTCAATGAACACCATGGATGCTGGTGTGGGACCTGTACACGGCGGCGAAGCCCTGCACATATCAGTTTAAATTTTGCACAGAAATGGCAACCGCTCATTGGTCAGCGCAGAAAAAAATACTACTCCTTGGTCAGGGTGGTCAGAAGCGCTTCTCATGGTCAGGTGACCACACACTGACCAATGAGTGCTCGCCATTTGAATGCAAGCTTTAAAATACTGATTGCAGGGCTGCGCTGCTGTGTACAAGTACTACAATCGGCAGCTATGGAGGGGGGGAAGGAGAAGGAGGAGCAGGTTGATGGGCAATTCCATTTCCCCAAATTCGACTGGGAAAGTGGACTTACCCTTTAAGTTGGCCGTACAATGGAAGATTTTCGTACAAACGTTCATACAAAAAAAGTCTCATCAGAACATTCAATAATACCATCAGAACATTCAATAATACCATCAGAGACTTCAAAAATCTTGTTTGCTTTTAACATTTGATTTTAGAACGCATGGAATTTTCGAAACCAAAAAAAAAAACCCCATTCCTTGTTAAATATTTGTTCATTCAAGAACAATTTCCCATCCCGCCTTTGCTTTTTTTCATTGCTGTGGTCGAAATTGATTTGACCCCCAATAACTATCGGAAATTAACATCTTCTGGTGTACGACCAACTTTTTAGGCTTCTCTCCCCGCACAGCGCGGCAGTCAAAAGCGACCTTCGGTGAATGTTGACGGGCCAGCGGCGTGAAAAACGTCACTTTCCCTGAAATCACCTATTCATGGCTGAACAAAGCGCAGCACGGTTATGCAAATACTTCCATTGAATGATAAATGACTCCTTTGTACACGTGTCTCCCCCCTCCCCCGCCAGACCACCTTTGCCTCGGGCATAAAGCCTTTGTATCAGACAATGACTCTGCTCAGGGTGGCAGGTGAGCAGTAGGAATTGTGGGTACTTTTTCTGGCCTCCCACACACCGCTATGGAACTACCCCGCAGGACGGCATGAAAAAGCTGCTCGCCGTGCGCTTCCCGAGCAATAAAGATCTAAAAATAAAAATGGCACCTCAACACAACTCCTGGCAGGAACATATGCCGTCAGGCTTTGGGCGCCAGCAACTGTTTTATTGCTTCTTTTGGGGG